GAGAGGGAGAGAGGGAGAGAGGGAGAGAGGGAGAGAGGGAGAGAGGGAGAGAGGGAGAGAGGGAGAAGAGAAAAGCTACAACTTGCATTTTTCCACAGTTAAATAGTGTGTGTGGAAACAAAATCACTACTAGCTTATACTAAAGCAAAAAACAGACCCTGTCACTTATATTACAGTAGCAATATCTTTGGCTGAAAGCTTTACAGAGAAATTGATGTGGTTCTTTGCTGGATGTACAAGGTATGACCTCAAAGATGATTCTGGTACAGAAAGTGTCAAACACAGCTTCACTATTTCACTTCCATTTTTGGCTTAGTGTCTTTGGGGAAAGCCACGTGGAAGGCTGCAGAAACCTCTTCCAAAAGGGGCAGAGCCTCTGTCAAACAAACCATAATTTGCAGAGAAGTATTGGGAGTTATCTGGGCACTTTGTCCACTTCACACAACTCCTTTTAGCATTAACCTCTCATGCCCCAGGACAGCTCGTAAATAAACAAGCAGAAGGAATGAGGAATGTGAGGCAACCAGCCAAGATATTTGGAGCTCCTCATAATAAAAGGAGATCTCAACTAGACCAACTTAAGATGCAAAACTGATAGGAACAGTACAAGCTGCTTTTGTTTTATAAGACCTCAGAAGGTTTCTGCACGAGAAAAAGTAGCACGGGTGCGATGACTTACGTGGCTCCCACTTGCCGTAGCCTCAGAAAAGCTGGGGTAAACTGGTAACGTACAAACCGCCCGGCATTGGGGTCGATGTCCTTCTTGTCATTGTGCTCACGTTCTGGAAAAGGGCAAGGAAAAGCTCCATCACTCTTGTCCGAGGAGCAGAAAGCTGGTGAAAATACCAGAGTAACAGAGATCTCCTCCCCAGCCTCATGCCCTCAGTGGAGCCCGCATGAGGATGAGGGCAAGTGACCAACACGTAGCACACTGGGCACCAGAAAGGCCTTTGCCACCTTCTCCACCTCACAGTGGGCAAAGTTACCTGATCTATCCTTAAATGCTCGCAGGACACAGCAAACAAACTGCAGCAAGAAGTACCTGGTTGCACAGAAAACACACAGTTTGCACCTCAGAAGCAAGCAGCGAGCTCAGCTTCAGCAGCAAAGTTGTGCTGTCTTTTTAAGTACTCCAGCCTGCCCATTGCTATTGATTTGGCAGTGCTGGAAATTGGTTCCCCAGGAATAAAAAAGAACTAGGGCTCCGTGCTGGCAGAACACGGGATAAACAAAGAGCTCTCTGTAAAGAAACTGGGCGAGCAGCAAACGGTGGTGTATTTTTAACCATGAAAAGGTATGTTATGAGCAAAAAAAAATGCAGACATCAAAGTTTGAGGGTTCCTCACCAAAATGAAGGACACCCAAAATATCACAAACTCTCCATTAGAGCTTCTATTTCTGATTTTCCTTGCTGTTAAGGATGGCTATGCACAGTGACCTCATTCTACTCTGTTCTTTCACAGCTTTATAAACTGAGTTCATAAAAATGACTGTTGGCCACAACGTGATTCACACCAGCATTTCACAGTCACTATGTTAGAAGGGGGGAAAATGAAAAAAAAAAAAAAAAAAAAATTTGTAGAGAACAAAAATTTTAAAATTCCTAGCAAGACAATTTACTCCAAACATGCTTCCTTTAAAAATACAGGGAGCAAGCCACCCACATGTTATGCACCTTACAAAGTTCCTTTCGGATTTTGCTCACAGATTTTGAATGAGAAGACAGAGATCTGGCTTTCGAAAAAGAGAAGAGGTATTGGGAGCTTTACTGCTACTTCTTACTGTTCTTCTAGTGTGAAAATTAGGGAACACTTGACCAAAGTAGATGATAAAAGAGCCAAAACAAAACCACAGCATGTGGGTAAGCTGGGAAATTCCTTGCTATAGGACACTGAGGTCTATTAAGTATAAAGATATAATGTGCAGCGAAGGAGCTCTTGGAACCCTATAATGTTGAATGAATATTCAACTATTCTGAACAGGGACGAGAGAGAGAAAGATTCTCTACAGTAGCCGCTGATGGTCACTCAAAGACAGAGCATTTGCAGGATGGTCCTTTGGCTTGAGCCACTTCTGAGCTCTGGAGTGACTGTTCCCACCTCCATGCAGAACTGCAGCCTCTGGACACGCTCTTGCACCTCACACCTCTTGGTTGCTATCTCGAAGCTACGGAAAAATTCCTTTCATATGCAAGGAGACAGCGAAGACTTGAAAGAGCGTTCAGTGGAGAACAGTGGCGCTGAGGTTTTATTATCCCCTGGTAATAGGTAACACCTCGATGGTTACAAGTAACACCTAACAATTATAGAAAAATGAAGCGTGTTTTCAGTTTGTCTCCATTGCATGACTGACATATGGTTTCTGTCTTTGAAAGATGCTTGTTTTCCTGGCTCCTGAAAAAAAAAGGTGTTAGCTTGACAGCTAAGCTATATACAGGGGGCTCTCCCTGCACCAACACATCCCGACTTCTTTTCTCCTGTCGTCTTCTATTTACAACATCCATCTGTCCTTTCTAAGCACAGATGGCCATGGCAGGAAGGCAGCAACAGCGTTAACTGCTCGTGTGGGTACAACAGGACACCTGAACAGCATCTCTGCTGTAGTCAGGGCTCTCATTCCTAGTTTGGAGAAACCTGTTGAGTGAACAGAGGGCGAAAAGGAAGCTGCCCCCAGCACGGATTTGGCAGCGACAGCAGCACTGGGTGCGCGCACTCACCTGAAGCCGGCGGCTTGGTGATTTCAAACAGCACCGTGCCAGACTCCATGTCCCGGATTTTGAACCTGGTGAAGTCGATCTTGTAAACATTTTCCTCTGGAGTGCACAAATAATCTGCAGAGGAAAGGGCAAGGCTGAATGAAGGATGCTCAGAAACACCCTGTATTTCTGGCTGCTGTGCCTTGGCCCCACAAGGTCAGCGCCTGGGCCAGCACGGCGCAGAGCCGTTTCCCCGCAGGGCATTGAGAAGAGGCAGGACCTCCACCAAATCCCAGCCTTTGCCGGGTAAGAGGCTTTGCCCGCTTGGAAAACTGCCCTCAGGCAGAACGCAAGCGCTAAGCAGCTTTGCGGGCCCTAAGCCGCCCGCGTCACGGGGACAGGAGCATCCTCCCGCCCGCGCCGCCGCCACCCCGGCACGGCCTCTGCTCCCCAGCCACAAGGCCAGGAGCTGCTCCTCGGCCCCAAAAACGGGCTGAAACCTCTCCCCGTGCTAGCGAACAGCCTGGGAACAGAGCCCTTCCCACACTGTGAGCCAGCTCCCAGCTGGGATCACAGGCTCCTCTGTGGGAAGGGGGATCAGAGTGCCCACGGATGGAAAGAGCTCCAATAACCTCCTTTATCCAGAGATACCTAACTAAGCACGTGTGTGTAAAAGCTAGGTTGGCTTTTGAACATAGCTGCGTTTGTCCAAGAGACTTGGGTTAGAAATATTAGGAAAGGTGGAAGTGATACCTCAGAACTGGAACTCTAAGCCGTCTCCCAGACGCCAATTCCCGATGCATGTCCAAGTTATTCACTTACTGCAGTTCCTGTTTCAAAAACCTAGGTGCATCCATCCACCTGGATGGGCACTGGAGGAAGTCACTGCTTCGCCCCTGGGTTTGGAGCCACGGCGCAGGCGGTGCCAGGGCCGAGCACCCACATGGGCTTGTCGGACAGTTAATTATTAAGTGTTTTCCTCCAGCAGAATTCCTGCCCGGCCAGCGCCATGGCAACGGTCTCATCCCCTCCGTTGCTGCAGTAACGGTGCCCGTGACTCATCCGGAGGAGAGGAGCACAGAGCAGAGCCACCGGAAAAGGAGCAAACGCGGGCACGATCCCTGATCCCAGACCCTGAGGCCCCGCACGCTGTTTCTTTCCCTGCTTTTTCTGCTTTTTCCAACTGTATTTGAAACTTATATTTTTAGCATAGTGCCAAGATCCCACCGGATGTCTTTGGGGAAGCTTTACAGCCAGAGGGAAAATACTGCCATGGAGTTTGTCCTCCTTCTTCTTGCAGGAAAGAAGGGCATCCAGGCCTGTCGCTCCGTGTTAAAAATTTGCCTGCTGCCATCCCTGTTCAAAATAATAAAATGGATCAACTCAAGGAGCCATGTGGGGCTGCTCCCACACACCTGTGGCTACCTTCCCGCAATGGGGAGCAAATCCCTCCACCACGATCCCCATGCGAGTCATTCCCTCTCTGCAGCCCAACGCTGCTCGGGAAGGGCCTGGATGCAGAGCTCACTGCTGCAGGAGGCAGCCATGGCCATGGACTTCGTGAGCCAGAAACAATCAGTTTTGTCACAAATTCTCCCTTTGTATGAAAAACCGCTTAAAAAAAAACGAGCGAGCCAACAGCAAACCATTGCACGTGTTTGGAGCCGCATGCTGGAGGACACAAAAGGCGAGGGATCATCCGACGCATGTCCCCACACGGAGAGCGGACGCTGGCACTTTCTCCTGCCCGAGTCTCCCTGCTCTTGGGATGATCCAGCGGACCAGATTAGGTGTCTGGTGGCAGTCACGGGGAGCTGAATGTCAGCACTGTATTTTCCAAGTCCCTCTGCATCCGCACCAGCGGGCGCCCGGCGGAGAGGAGGCATTGCTGGGACACCGAGTTTGGGGCTCCTCATCCCTCTGCACCTCCTCTCTGCCACCCCCTGTCCCCCCCAAACATCCACCATTGCTGGGGCACTCTTTAAGGTTTCAAAACCCAGGTGGGGCAGCTCCTATTTTGAGCCTTTAACAGCCCAGGGACGAAAGCTGAGGGGCTAATGGAGAGCACAAAATCCAACGGTGAAAATGGTCCTAGACCAGGTGGATGCAGCAGCTGCTCATGTTGGGAATGTCACTCCCCAGTCCCAGCAGCCATGGAAATTTAGGGAAAGAGGAGGCTCCTCTTACCACACCACCCTATTTTTATGGTGCATTAGCTGACAAGGTCAGCACCTCTTTTGGAAGCTCCTGCCGAGACGTAAGCCAGGTATAAAGCAAAGTCAACGGGAGATGAATCGCTGGGAGCTGGCGATTAGCAGATTATCAGATTGAAGCGTCTCAGGAGGAAGCGAGCAAAAATAGCAGCGAGGCGGCGGGAGGCAGAGCCGGGACTCAGGGCGGAAAGAGAAAGAGCCCGACCGGGCGCCGCAGCCCTGAGGCCGAAACCGCGGCGGGGACCTAAGCGACGTCGGCTCCCGTGCGCGGGGCTGACCCAAAGCAAAGCAGCCCCTGCCCAAAGCGCCTGATGCCTCCTCATCCCGGCTTCCCGCTTGTGCTCCCCTTTCCACCTGGGATGCTGCACACTTTTAAGAAGTGCGCTGCTGCAGCGCGGTGCGTGTGCGTTGCCTGCACATACGCGCTGCCACACGTGCTCGCCTATATTTAAGCAGCTCATACTTGAGCACAGGACTACTAGAAAAGCCTCCATCAGCGCTTAAGTGATGAGTTACAGCAAAGCCTCACTAAGGGCCTTGGTGCGTGTCACCTTGTCCAGGGAATGGGCTCCTGGGCACCGCTCGGCGATGCAGGATTGCCCATTGGTCGAGTTTTCCTCACCCCAACCAAGCAGCGACTCATCACCCATCGCATGACACCCACAGCTAATCAGGGCTCCTGTCCCAACAGCGCCAAGACTGAGGGTGGCAGAATCGAGGACAGCGCAGCTCCTCGGCCAGCGCCACGAGGCAGGACGGGGCACTCACAGCCACCGACGTCCCGGTAATTGCAGACGGGCTCCCCTGATCCTCCGCCTGCCTCGGTAATTAACTGCAATTTGAACTCAGCTCTACCCTGCTCCTTTGCTAATCCCAAGCTAATCGTGTTGGAAGTTATTTTTCCTCTTTCAGTAACCACAGTTGCATGAGCCGGTAACAAATCCTGCTAATTGCAAAAAAAAAGCCCTGTTTAATTCGCCTGGTGCCTCTCCCTGCTGCAGCAACGCCACAGCCAGCCCACCCGGAGGGCCCAGCTCTTCCACAGCAGCTTCCCAATCCGCCAGGATCATCCCTGAAATGGTAGCGGCCACGGAGCTGGGAGAGAATTTAGCACTGAAAGGAGGTACCATATGCAGGGCAGTTTGCACAACTCCCGCCTAAGCTTATTAGAAACACATTAAGAGCAGAGCCTAGCTGCCCTTGCTGGTTTCCTGCACGCTCAGGTTACAAAAGAGGTTTCTCTGGGCTAGCAGAAAGGCTTCTGTGGCCACCAAGCACCTCTGCTTTTCCAGCTGGCCAGCCTGAGACATTTAACACTTACCACACACGCAGCCGGTCCCTGCAGTGGGACCCCCAGTACGATCCCCAGCTTGTGCTGGGACGGGCTCCTACCCGTGAGCTCCAAGGGCACCGAGACGATTTCATCCTGTGCCACGTGCTCTAGGTGACCCTGCATGTGCAGGTGGATTGGACTAGACCATCTCAAGAGGTCCCTTCCTACCTCGAGGATCCTATGATTCTGTCACCCTCCAGAAGCCCTGAAGCACCTCGACCCTCTGGGTGCTGCACCAGCCCTGCCCCAAACGCACCCACCAGCTCCTGCCGAGCCGAGTGCCACGGAGCCGCATCCCGCAGCCCTCGTGCCGGTGGTGGAGCTAGCAGGAATGTCCGGAGCTCCAGGAGGAGCCGGCGGGGATGTCCCGCCGCAGCTTGGACCCGCTGCAGCGTCGCACCTTTGCCTCATCTGTTGGCCACGGCAACCAAGGTGCACAAGGCTGGAGGCCGTCAGCCCGCCTGATGCGGTGGCACAGGTGTGGAGGCTTGCTAAGAAACGGGATTCAACTGTTTTTGAGAGAGAGAAGGAAATTAAAAAAAAAGAAAGAGAAATCCTAACCTTTCACCTCTCCACCCACTGTCCTCTTATGGTCTCCTTACCATATCTCAAAGCCAGTCTCCACTGTTAACGCCCTTTAAAAGACATAACCAAGGCTGCAGGCTCCCTGTGACCTTGGCTCAGTCTCTGGATGTCAAGAACCAGCCTGGAGAGGCCGCGTGCGGAGCTCTGCCCTGGGCCGGGCTCCCCACAGCCTCTATCCTCCTTCCCAGGCCAAGCTGGGCATAAGCCCAGCCCAGACATTGTCCCAGGTGCCAGCACCGAGGCCGAGCCTCCCAAACACCAGGAATGGGAAGGGGATGGAAGCTGGGGATACATCGGGCTTAAGCTAAAGGGGACAGGGACGAGGCCACGCGTCTCGCCGCCGCCTGCTCCATTGCTGCCCTCCCTCGAGGCGGCTCCGGGCGGGATGCCGGGACCGGTTGCACCCGTTTTCAGGGAGCCGTCGTCCCTGCATAAAAGGGACAGTTCACCCAGCAGAGCCAGGCGGGATACGGAGCAGGCAGAAGGATTTCACGAGGCCCTTCACAACAGGCTGGAGGAGAGAGCACGGGCTCAGCTGCTGTCCTGCTCACACTGGCACTTTGGGGACTGTGAGAGGGCTGGGGCGGCCACAAGCTCCTCTCCCACCGCACGAGGTCCTTCCCCTCCCCGCAGCTCCCTCCATCCGGAGCACAAGACTGCCATGATTTCACATCGGTATTTTTGGCCATCTATTTTTACGAGCTTGCTGCAGCCCAACGCAAATGATTAAAGGCCGCAGAACGCCCCAAATAAACGCTACGTGGTAAGGACCACAGAAAACATCTTGTGCTTTGCTCCCTGCACCTAAGCCACCCAGCGAGGAACGGGCCTCGCAGAGGGGCCCTGCAAAGCGTCACCGAACACTGAAACACAGCGCGACGGGGCGAGCGGGCGGCTCGAACAGGGAGCAGTGAGGAGCTCTCCTGGGGCAGGGCTTAGCCTGGGCTCCCCTCACGGCGGCCGGTTCCCTCCTGGCCCGTCCCAGCACATCCCCCTCGCGCTGTGGGGAACGCGGTGCAGAACTCCTGGAAACGGCTCCTTTCCAGGAGCGCTGCCCTGCAGGGATGCGGGGCAGGTAGCGGGCAGCTCGGTCACAGAGCCCAGGTGAAAAGCAGGGCCCTCCTGGTGCGCTGCCAACGCAGGCACATGCCCAGAGCGACACGGAGGGGACAGCGAGGCCGGCTGCCCCCTGGCACGGCCCACGCCGGCCCTGGGCAGCCTCTGCAGACACAGGCCACCGTGCAGCGACGCACGGGGCATTTCACAGCTCGTGCTCAGCGTCCCGCTTGCACGAGTACGAGGGCAGCACGTGCCAGTGCCCCACGCATCCCGCGCCACGCGGCAAGGAGCGGGATTCCCACTCCTGTGGAAGGATTCCACACGGATTCCCCGTGGCAGGGAGCAGAGGCCAAAGCACCAGCCGGCACCAGCAGCCCCTCTCCGGAGGAGCCTCCGCAATCCCAGGCTGGGCGGCCGCTGGTGCCAGCACAGCTCCCGCACCCTCCTGCCCCAGCGAGCCCAGCTGCACCGCTCCAGACAGAGCCCTGGCCACCGCGGCTGCCTCTCGCCCAGCCACCGCCAGCCCCGAGACCCGGCGGGGCAGAAGGGCCTTTGGGGCAGGGGCGGCAGCCCCGGGGAGAGGGCTCCCGGGGGGCGCACGGGCCGCTGGGCCCCCGCACCCCTTGTCCCTGGCGGCTGCGGTAGCGCCGGTGCAGCCGGGCACAGCAAACCGGCTCCCGGGATGCGCCGCTGGAATCGCGGGTGTCGGGGGCCGCCCCGGGCCACCGCAGGCGCCGCATCCCGCACAAAGCGGCGCCCGCCGGCCGGGAGCCCGAGCGCTCCGGACCCCCCCTCGCCCCCCGCAGGTCTGCCCGCGCCCGGGGGGGTCCCGCCGGGCCGCACGCACCGCTCGTGACCCGCTGCAGCGCCAGGACGTCGTCGGGCCCGATGAGCGCCTTGCGGCCCAGCTCGTCCTCGGCGCGCGCCGCC